TATATATATATATATATATATATATATATATATATATACAGGTACATTTATAAATTATCATCAAACTACTTATAAAATGATTATTTTAGCAAATTTTGTCTTGGCTAAAGGTAGTGAATAATTACAATTAATAAAATGTTTCAACATACATATGGATTTTAGTTTTTACAATTTTTGATATTTATGTACTATGGTTAAGAATATAAACTAACATATGTATTTAAATATAAAAAATCAAATGTGTAAGATTTATTAATAGTGATATCAAAATGTATTACTTACATCCTCCTGGCCACCATTTTACTGAACTAAGAGTTGGGGTGTTTATTATAAATTCTTCAGTCTGAGGGTCATACGTTGCTGTAGTCTCCAACCCTCTGATAAATGTGCCTGCAAAGCAATTGTATATTTAAATTCCTAATAAGCCTTTTTTTTTAAATAATATAGTTGAAAGTATTTATATCAGTATTAAAACAAATATATTAAATAGATACTCACTTCTTTCATCATTTATGGCCTAATTTTAGAAATTTTTTTTTAACTTAACAATTACATAACTGTACATAAAATTTAACTGTTTAAAGGGAAAAACAAACACTCTTATATCATTTTGCTAAAAGTAAAAGATAATTCATAGAAAATATTAAAAAACAAATGTTCTATTCTGATTACAAGTTTGGAGAAACTGAATGAAGTGAACATCACTGCATATACTTTGTATCACCTTAGATACACAAATAAGATTTTCTACCGTATTTGCAAAGAAAGCATTAAAATTACCTGGAATAGAATATCAGAGAAATTATAAGTTATAATAGATACTGAATTAAAATGTCTACTAAAATTGAGAAAAAAAATAGTTTATTTTGAAAACATGGAAACAAGCACATTCCATTGAATACAACATACTTTTGAAAAGTTAAAGTCTCACATAAAGAATATTTTTTGTAATATATTCTATACCTATGTTTAACACACAGACACTGTAAAATATTACAATAGGAAAAACTTACCAGGCTCTCAGAAGTTTTGTTACATGATTTTGTAAGAATCAAATAATACACCTCTTACAAAAGTTCACCATCTTGTCATGAAGAGTTGAAGGTACAAATGAATTATACTGAGATTATTATTATTCCTTTCAATGATGGATATAAATATTCAACATGACAAGCAGGGTTTAGTCATTTTAGCAGTATGTTACAAATTTTTTAAATTCTATAATAAGATACTGTAACATTGATGTAGACTTTGTTTAAAGTATTGTATTTTGCATCAAATATAAGGAAATGTGTTTCAAATTTCTTGCTCTGATATCTTTACGAAAAAAATTTTATAGGAATTTCCACAAGAGTTCATACAGAGATATCCTCCATTCATGATATTTTTATATGATTTTTCATTTTGAATAATAAAAATGAGAAAACTTTGGTTCTTGTAACCGGTGTCACCTGCCTCTTCTATGTTAGATAGTTTATTAATGTGGAAAAACTTTATTCTGCATGCAGGCATACTGTCCAAGGCTGAATTATGATAGTAACTTTTAAAATAATATTTGCATTGAAGATAAAAAGGCATACTTCCTAGTTTACGATTTTTCCAATGTTTTAAGTAATTTTTTGTATCATAATGTTATGTTTCTGCTTTTTCTAAATGTTTTCACAAAATGTTACAGAAACTTGACTTACAATAAATGCTTTAATGTATAATAATTAAGTGCAAAGAAAAAAATTACACATACACTTATATGTAAGTAGAAAAATGTGAAGTTGATAAAATAAATAAATTAGACATTTAGAGAAAAATCACCTTTAAATCACTATGGTAGTAACTTGTTTACTTCACTACATTTCAAGCAAACACTCTTTTTCAAACTGGAAACAAGCCTGTCAGTTAATGACAACTACTGCCAAGCCTTTTGTGGCTTGAAAAAGAGTGTTTGCTCAAAACATTGCCAAGTAAATAAATTACTACCATAGTGATTTAAAGGTGATTTTTCTCTAAAAGTCTAATTTCTTTGTATGGCACAAATGAGGACTCAACTGATAAAGGAATTTTGTAGCAAGACACATGAACCTAACACTAAACAAGTGATGTTTTATTCTCGTACATAACATTGCTACTTTTGTATCAGACGAACAGTTCACACGCTACAGTTTAAAAACTGTCATTACTTTTAAGCCCAGCATTTTTAGTGTCATCATAATTTGGACTGAGTGATTAACACAATTAATCAATATAATTGATCATCTATGAGCATCAATTACACTGATTAGTGTCATGAAAAATAATCAATTAATTGAAATTATGATTAAACACATTAATTTCACAAAACTAATCAACTTATCCAAATTAGTATTTCCAGTTATTACCATTTTTGATTATTCCAATTATTCAAGTAATTGATATATTCCCATTGTGATTTATGGTTCTTATTTTCAATTAATTCAAGGTTGTTCAGCTTAATTGATTAGTGTTACAACTCATGAAAATAATCAACTAATTGAAATTAGTGTTTCCAATTATTACAACTATCAAAGTCTCACGAAGATAATCGATTAGTCGAATGTAATCAGTTAATGAATCTGACAATTAGTTATCAAACTCCACTCACTGTCCATATCTAATTGTTTTGGAGTAGAAATTTTTTATGGTTATTTCTAGCTAAACTTATTTCAAAATTACAATTGAATATGAAGAAAAGTTAATAGAATATAACACATATTTCCTCTCAACTTGTTAAGTATTAATAACAATTCAACAGTGCGTGGCTAGACCTTCTCTTTAATTAGAACCAAAAATACAATTGGAAAAAAAAAGGAAAATGTACAGAAGTTACCATGGCCAAGTTCAGTCTGAGCATAAGTTCCTAGGATTTTCATTTCGAGGGCAGGTCCAAGCCACATGGTTTGCTGGTCTTCTGTTGCATGTCCCATCAAAGCAGGTATAAACATAACAAAATGCACACTGACAGGGGAAGCTTCATGCATAATGGCTTCAGCAATAGTACTTGAAGTAAAAAATATATAAAATTCTTTAGAAAATGTAACTTGAATAATAATTACAGCAATTATAAAGTAAATATTATGCAAGTGTTTATTACTTTCATCTATTAATATATAAACACAGTATTATTCATTTATTGTTATTGTACATATAAAAATGAAGACAAATAGAATTCTCTGTTAAATCCACCTTTGACATCTTGCTTCCCTCTAAAAGAAGTGATGTACATTATATTCTAAGCTTTTCTCAATTATTTAAAGAAAAGTGATGGAATTAATAAAATATTATGGAAAGAAATTATCTATTGTCAGGTTTTATAAAGGCTGTGGGTTCTTTACAGTAGGTGTCTGTGACTTGATTGCAATAAATTTGAACAATAAACAGACAGCACGCAATCCACTTGTTTTAAAATATATTCAAAACAACTCAAACATATGTACCAAAATTAATTACACTACTGTTTACAACAGTTGAATCTAGAGGTTTAATCAATTCGTGTTTTCATCAAAAGCCCATACAGACTGGTTCAATTACATTAGAACCCAATTATTTCCTCTCTCTCCTCTCTTACCACAATTCTCTTTTTTTTTGTCAAAAGTCCACAAAGGATGGTTTAATTACCTTAGAACACCTTTTGACAGGACAAATTATTCTTCTCTATCTCTGTTTATAATACAAACTGTGATACTTTCACTTTAGAAATCACCCTTTACAGATAAGCAGGCAATCTTGCAGTCTAACTTCACTTTTACTAACTTTCTTCTTACTTGCACTCTTTATCTGCACGTATTTATAACATGCAACAGAAAAATCTAGAAATATTCAGCCCTCTAGTAACAACAATATTAAACATAACGAGAAAAACTTGGAAGCTTCAAGTAAGATGACATCAACAATATTACAAAAAACTGCATACACAAGTTACAATTATATAACGAAATAATTATAACTATCACTTTTAAAATAATTAACTTTTAACACTCTTGTTATGAAAACTAAATAATCATTAAATATTACATTACTTAATAATAACACCTAAACTAAAGTCTTATATATCCAACATCTATAAGTTCTGCAAAGATAACAAAATTTTCTAAATTTCCACCAAGTACTCACAGTCATCAACACAAATGACTAGCAATCACTCAACTGAACATTACCAGTGCTTTGTTTTTGTGCTTGTGCACCTTCATCCATTTAATTTTGACCCAAAAGCTGCACTTTCCCAAGTACCTTTAGTTTACCATGTATTACCGGAGTAACTGTTTGTCACATGTCATATGAATACATTTACCCGAGTAAATTTATATACAAAATCATTATATATCATTACAGCGAACAATGATTACTGTCTTAAAATATCAAGTTTTAATAGGTGCAATCACATTCAAGTAGGTGTTTCAGGAGTGAAAAATGTCATTTGCTTGGCTTTGTAAAATGCAAATCACTGCATAACTAATTACTTTTTTTTTGTAAAATTTATAAATAGTTAACCTAGATAATACAAGATATTGCAAACAATCAAAATACCCAATTTTTGTTTTCTATGCAAGCTTTTAATTTGATGGTTTAATACTACATTTGTGTTTTTTTACACTATTGCATCTAATTGTGAACTACAATTAACATAAAACATTTTGACTATTTTGTAGTACATTTAATTAAGCACATGACAACATACAACTTTAGAACAAGCAATAGTATGTACATAAAAAGCAGTTCCAAATATTTTATTACAACAAAACATTTTTGTAAAGTAGTTCATTAATCATTTCTGGATAAAATGACAGTTTAAACCATACTTGACACAGTTGACATTGCAACATATCTTATTCCTAATATGTGTAAATATTATTTTCTAACTTAAAGTTAGTAAATAAGATTGAGAATGAGAACTTTAACATTCAGCTCTCATGATTTTAAAAAAGTATTTCTATCAGGTGGCTAATATATAATGAACAACTTAACTTATAGCAGCATTTCCAAAACTTTTGTCATCCACACCCTCCCTTTAATATATATTGTTTCTTGTGCACTCCTCTTTTTTTAAATGACTGAAAGAGGGAGTTAAGTGACAAGATATAACACTCCGATACACATTAAAATGCTATATGTGTTGTAGTAATTACTTATTATTTTCAATAATAAAAAATATATTAAAACACTTAATTTTGTATTATTGTACTACTGACTACTATAATCATTCACATCCCCCAAGAAATCATTTGCACCACCACCCCTTGGGAGGAGACAACCCCCAGATTTTGGGAAATGCTGACTTACAGTAAACATATTCCAGAAATTATCTAATAAAGTGTCAAAAGAACTTTATGGTTTAATTATGCACAACTAACAAGTTTCTCTATAATAAACTTTTTCTGTGATAGTTTGGACTGCTAGTCACTTAGAATGATAATGCCACTTTTAGTGACAGAAAGGTTTCACACCAGAATTCACATGTAAAGAAATTTAATTGTGTTTTATGTGCTTTAGTATCAAACTTCCAAACACAAAAAATCTATACATATTCAAATTACAATGTGTACTTACAGAGCCTCTCGAGGATCAGATAATTCCATAGATTTGTTAAAAATGTACAGAGATTTCCGGATTGCATTCTCATAGACCTCAGAATGAGAACAATAATCCCAAGGAACTTCATCTTTCAATTCCAGATCATTAAAGAACATATCCTCTGTAATGGTTTAAAAAAAGTCTGAACTAAAAAAGATATTTGCAAGTATTATAAAAATAAAACTATGCAAATTTTAATTAGCATTACTTTATTAAAATGTTCCTGAATTTTAAAATTTAAACTACTTTTAAAAAGTTAAAAATTTGACTAGGCTGAAAAAAAAATCTTTCTTTCCTCCCATTTATAAGAAACTTTATATCAAACCAAAACATTTCCTTGCAAAGAATAAGAGAAAAAAACAAGTTACAAGTGTATATCTTTACACTTAAGTATGTGCTTCAAAACTGAAACTATAGAATCAGAGCTACTTACAGTATAAAAAAAACAAAAATATTTGTACTGAAATGATCAAACCTGAGTAAAAAATATCATCATAAAATACTTTGGTGAGAATGTGTAACATCTTGGGGTCCAAAAAAAAGGATACTTTTGTTTCATATAAAGTTAACTAGGTCTTTAAATAATTTAAGTTTATCTTTCTTTACAACAAATTTTACAACAGTAATTAATACACATAATTATGAATGTTAGATTACAAATTATTATTACTAAACATCAGGTTTTACTAATTCATTAACCTGTAGGTAAATAAGACATATAGTACACAAGTAACTTATTTCATTATATAGCCTTTTGCTAAGGAAATATTAAGTAATAAATGTTAACTAAAAAACAAAGTATAAGTATTTTCAACTTACGCCAAAATTATGTAACAAGAACTATGGCAAACAAAGAATAGTAGCAGAAGTATTTTTAAGTTGGGTGATTAACAGGGATCCTTAAGTCTACTTTCTCATATGAGCAGCATTTTCCTGTTATGATGGTAACCCAATGGCAGCCCAGCTCTTCTGCTTTTTGCTGTTGTTGTTTTTACATTAGGTAGCTATATTACCAAGGTGCAAAATGTCTAATTTGTGTACAAGTTGAGCAATATGGATAAATTAACCTGGAACTTATAAAAGATTAATCAATCATTATTCTAGAATGATAGAATTGGCAAAATTAAACTAAATAAATATTTTGTGAGACATGGGTAGCAAAAAGGCACTACCTGGAACATTTTTACTATCAGACATCTTGCTTTGAATATCATGTTATGACAACATTTCGGAATACTCAAGTGTTCCTTCTTCTGGATGGTTAGGTATGGTTATGGAGAGCTTTGAGAAGCTAGTTCAGAAAGCTGTCCATAACTTACATCACTTACCTGAAGATGGAATATGCAAGTATCCTAAAATGTCATCATAACATAAAATTCAAGGCAAGATGTCCAATAATAAACATCTTCCAGATAAATAAATATCCTTCTTGTCAATATGCAAGCTTTTTTTTTTTCTTAAGGCTAACATATTTTTAAGTATTAACTTCTGGAGCAGCCTATCTTATGACAACTTTTGCATTCCTTGGCTGGATTTACTTCAATGCCATTGTTTATTTCATTGAAAGAATTTAAAAGCAACTACAAAAGGTTTTGGACATTATTCCAAAACAGAATTATCTTGAAGTATATAGCTGTAAGTTGTAATTTATCTCTACTATATCTGATTAATATGTATGAGTTATAAGTATACTTTCTAAATTGTGCAAATAACTAGCCATCAATACATTCGTTTATGTATTACATTCAACTGGTTATAATATTTTGTTATTTAAAAAGAAATAAAATAACCTTAACTTCAGAATTTATATTATAAAAATAATCAAAATCACGTACAATTAATTTAATCCAAATCTTTATAATCATACTAAATTTCATTTTGGCAAGTCATTCAATTCATCAGGAAACTTTCTTATGAAAAGGGTTAAGCCGAACGTACACGTAACACTGTTAGTAATAGTACAGTACACTACAGTAGTATCGCTATCAGTCACTGTTGGATAGTTTGTCTACGTGTGAATACTAGCTTCGTGTAAATTCTCAAACCAAATATTACATACCTAACTCTTTTCTTCTCTGCGTTTTTTGTTCTGAGCCATCTAGAAGTTGAGTCATTTCTTTAACACTGAAACTGGCTTGGGATCTTTCCCTTATCAGTTCCTCACACACTTTCTTTCTCAGCGCCATTTTTGAAGCAAATACAACATCAGCTTCACACTCTGACACAAGTACAGCAAATAAATAATAAAGGTCAACGAACGTTTTTATAATAAGATTGAAAAAAACAATTGCTATTGAAAATAGCAAATATAAAATTGTTACGTAATTATAAAAATTCATTTAAATAAAAAGGAATAAGACAATTTGATAATTATTTGAATTTCTCATAAATACAATTATACCTAAAATTTGTATTTTCTCCACGTAATACTCTTTCAAAATACAGGGTTCGATTCCCCGCAGTAACTTTGCTTAGAAAAACAATAAACTCCTCCCAATGGCTCAGCGGTAATCTAAAATCGTATAACCCTAAAAACCGGGTTTAGATACCCATTGTGAGCACAACAAAAGCAAATGATAATAAAGAATAAGTTGACATGTCTAAATCAAAACTTTTTGTACTTTATTTTGTGAGACGTTTCGAGCGGACTCCCTTCGTCAAGTAGTAAAGGCCTTATTACAATTGAATTAGGCTAAGAAATCATTAAAAGATGAGAAAATACAAAGGTTCTAATTACATACGTTCAACGTGTAGCACGTGACAAAAATATTCATAAAACATTGTTGAACTTATTATGTAAATATAATTAAAATTAGCAAGAACATAGAAAAAAAAAGTAATTAGAATAACTAAAACTGGACATAGAAATATAAACACAGAAAAATAATAAATTCGCAAATAATAAAGTAATAGCCTAGTTACACACACGTACGTAGAGGGGGTCAGTAGAACACCTTATTTTTGTGATGTACGTTTTCTACATAGTCTACATTCTTCTGATGAAGCATTAGCGTTTTTTGGCTTGAAATAGTCCCAAATCGTATTGCTATTGTCAGGTTTTGTACCTCGGATTCTTTAGAGTAGATGTCTGGGACTTGTTAGCGATAAATTTCACCAGTAAACAAACAGCAACAGAGTCCACTTGTTTTAGAATAATATATTAAAACAAGCCAAACATATTGTTGCGTCAGCTAGGTTACGTGACTAGTATCACGCCACCTGTTTTCTAGAAATATCCTGTTCCTTCAAGAATGCCCTAGCATTTACTAGATATGGGGGTAGTCTGGTATATATAAGATGGTCACAACGTGACGGAACAACAGTGTAATGAGTAATTGAACTGCAGTCAGAGAGTACTGCTGAAGTTGAGCACGTTCGTTGTTATAGCGCGACTGTTGAAATTAAGTGTATCGTAAAGTTGTATTCGAAAAGAATAAACCAGTTTTATTTAAGAAAGGACTTGTGTAGCTAAAGTTTCGTCGGAACGAATTTACGGAAAATTAAGTAATGACTGGAGGCGTAACAATATATACAAATGTTCGTTACACAGTTAATCACCACAGTTGTATCCAGAGGTTTAAATAATCGTCTTTTTTTCGTCAAAGTCCACACATGCTGGTTCAGTTACTTTAGAACACAATTGACATGACGAATTATTCTTCTCTGTTCTGTTATTAAAATACAGTCTATGATACTTTCATTTTAAAAATCGTCACTGTACTCTCTTTATTGCTAAACTCACAATCATGCAGTTTAGATCTAAATAACAATCTTTCGACTTGTATTTATGCCGCGACAGTCGTCTAGAACATTCAACGCAATACTAGATATTCTGATGCAATAATACTCAATTAAAACAACGAGAAAAATTCAGAAAGTTTTAGTAACATGACGCAACAATATAACAATCGCTAACTCATAACAATTGAATGTACACGCTACATGACATATGATTCGTAAACAATTCGGAAACAAACTTGTCATAATGTCTCACTTCTAAAAGTAACTAAATAGGACACCCCAGCTATATAAACTATCCAAACCATAACACGTGCATTAAACTTAAACTGAAACAGTCGTGTATATCTAACTCGTGGTTTTGAGCACAAGCAAGTTTCTTCGTGTCACGTAAATAGAACTATAAAGTGATTGTGGGTTGAAGATTGAAGCATTTTTGTACGTTTTTATTTTTGTACAAAAAAGGAGCTGAAAATTGTGCTAATCGTAAACCCATTTGAAAATTGCCGGACATAAGAGTAAGAGTCTGGCTCGCGAGACAACACTGTATACGATATATAATTATAAGCTAGACCTTCGACACTTCTTACTGAACACAATGAAACGCCTACGTAAAACTGACTGGAGTGATACATGAATGTTTATTGCCGAAAAAAAAAAAAGGTTGAAATATGATGACCAAGGTACAGTACTACTTAGATTTGCTGCTTTAGTAGCTAATATAGCCTGTGACATGCAAATAGAATATCTACCTTATATTTGTGCTGTGCATATGTCTGGTGTTTTAAATTACAAACTTTGTGTTTAATCCATGAAAATCTATACATGATCAGTTCAGAAATTTATGCCATCAAAACTCACATAAGAGTTTTCTGTCTCTGATACCAAAGAGGATATAGATTTTTACAGGGAAGATTTGCCAAATCCTGATATTTTTGATGAAACATTTCCTCGATGGAAGACAAGATAGCTTTCTATACCTCTTCAGGACAGGCCTCAGATACTGGCTGACTGCCTTAAAAGCGTACTTCAGTGTACGGAATATTTTTATGTTACTGAAACTCTTTGCCATACTGCCACTAAGTTCATGTTCGGGTAACGTTCAGCATCCCCGGTTGAATAATTACCTGGGGTGTACACAAACCGAAGAAAATGTATTTGTTTGTTTGTTTGTTTTGAATTTCGCGCAAAGCTACACGAAGGCTATCTGCGCTAGCCGTCCCTACTTTAGCAGTGTTAAGACTAGAGAGAAGACAGCTAGTCATCATCACCCACCACCAACTTTTGGGCTACTCTTTTACCAACGAATAGCGGGATTGATCGTCACCGAAGTAAGACTGAGCACTCTAGCTTTAATACATAAACATTATGACACTGTTATGAACATTGAAACTGTATGTAATTTATTTAAGGAAAAGCACCCCAGAAGAATCGAACAAGCTAACATGTTATTTCAGTTGTGCATACATGTACTCAGAGCCGTAGCTACGGTAGGGCGGGAGGAGCAGTTGCCCAGGGCGCAGCCTGTTATTCAATAATTTATGCAGAACTATACAGACTAGGGGCAAATAGAAACACTTACTATTTGAACTTATCATCCGAATTAAGCAACATAACTTGTTCTATTTAGTATAGTATGGTACTTAAGTTCCTGCCTTCACTCCTTATTCTTCAACTACGTCGTCTCTTCTCAAGTTATAACATATATCATACATATGTTTATACTAGCTGGAGTATCCGTCCCCTGAACGGAAGTTATGTAAATTTATGATTAATGAAAGGTTATCTTAGGACATGAAAAGCTGCTTCCCTTATATGTTATTGTAAAAACCGCAAAATGTGAAACAGCAACTTTATATGTATCTCCGCATGGACCCAACAAATGTTCATGCCAAATTTGGTGAAGATACATCAGCATGGGCAACGTAGTGGTAAAAAACGCCCATAAAAACCACAAAACGCAAAATGCAAAACTGAAAATTTGTATGTCCTCCCGCATGGACCTATTGAACCTTCAGACCAATTTTGGTGAAGATCCATCCAAACCCTGCAAAGTAGTTGCATTGACATACAACAGACAGTACTATTATGCTTATATATTTTCTAATATTGTGGTATTTACCATCCCATTTAGCTTCATGCTTCTTTCGTAATATCTGTATGTTTTTAGAAAAATGAACTATAGAACTCGAGACATAGCATATCCAATGTTCTGGGACATCCTAAAACTCTGCTGGCTACCAAACATTACAGGATAGAATCATCGGGTTTTTACTGTATTTGTAATTGCTATAAAGTAAAGTAATTCTAGTAATTATCTATAAAATACATTTATTAACTATCCATGTTATGAAAACACTTGATTCTGATAGAATATCGACCATGAATAACAAATTTGTTCTGCAAGGATGTGTGCTGTGAAAAGGTTAGGCAGACCAAACGCTCAGTACACTATATGGAACCTCCGCAGACAGACCGGCCGACCGACATGCACGGGATACGAAGAAAAGGGGGGGGGGGCAGCAGTTCGTAAAACTTACCCATACCCTGCATGTAGATAGTACAGTGCTTTACTATAATAAAACATACATATTTATACTAATTTAAGTCTAGCTCCCCATGCAGTGTTACAACAGAATGATGATTTGTTGACTTTTCATTGGATGTTTTTGGATTTTATGTGGGCAGTCATGCATTTGTTTTAGATATGTTTCATGTATAATTGCTTCCAGATTTAATCTCATGATACCTATTCTTTACAAATTTTCTGGGGGGCATGCCCCCTAGACCCTCGTGACATTAGTTGATTTCACAAATTAGAAGCCCCGTTTCAAACATTCTGCGTACGTACCTGCACTAGAATAAAATAATAGTCCAGGAAAATAGTTATGGGAAGGAAAAAAACTTTCGCGTAGGTAAGTTGGAAGAGGGAGATTTAACCAGGAGTCCAAGGTAAGGTAAACGCGGCTAAATAAATTAAATTAGCTACACCGATAGCCCGTTGTATAGCTTTGCATTTAACAACAAAACAAATTTCACGTCGTACATTTCTCGTGCAGTGCTGTACATTTTTGTATATTCAAATATTTATTTACTTTTAATTTTATTTCAGAAAACAAATTGGCATCAGTACAAAAATTGTAATCTTCCACAAACACGTCATTAAAAAAAATGCTACTTAGTTCTTATGTATAGGTTTACATATTCTTTTAATTTACAGTCACACGGAAGATAACGTTGGCATTAATTCAAATACTGAACACACAAACACACACAAATATAGTTATATACACAGGTATATTTTTGTGGTACAAACTGCAGAATAGTCCAGCTTACCCATACTCACTGTTTTTAAGCTCAATAGGTTCAAATATACCTTTAGTTCATGAGAGTCTTAGGAAGGGCATTTACGAATCTAGATTATTCAACTTACTTATACATACCTATTTTCACGTTTATAAATAT